GGGGGTCGGCGGCTGCAGGCGGTAGCCTGGTAAATATATATATATATACACCTGAGAAAAGAGAGGACGAAAGCCAGCGAGAGACCAATATGATAATGCCAGACTGGGAGGAAAAAATAGCGGAGCACTTATTGTTGAATGCCTGTCGCTTTCGTGGAGCTTGTATCAACGTGGAGTAGGTCAAGATCGGAGCACAGCATGAAGTGTTGAATGTTTTAGGTTTTCTCGATTTTCCTGGCGCGGTGCTCTCTGGAGCGTCCCTGCTTGGTGGTCTATTTGAGAACCCATGTAAAAATAAACGTCAGTGAAGACCAGGAGAAGGATGCCCGAAAGATGTTTTTTTGTTGTTTTGAAATCTGTTTCGGGCATCGTGCAGCAGTGCGAAGCCCTATAAAGAGCAGGACTGGAAGAAAGAAAAGAGGAGAGCACTCATTCGGTTGTAGTTTTCGTGGAGCTGGTATCACTGCGACGTAGATGAAGATCGGACCCCAGCATGAAGTGTTGAATGTTTTAGTATTATTGATTTGCTTGGCACGGCGCCTTCTGGAGCGTCCCCTGTTGGTGTTCTATTTGAGAATCCGTGCAAAGATAAACGTCAGTGAACACCAGGAGAATGATGCCCGAAATGGTGTTTGTGGTTGTGTTGAAATGTGTTTTGGGTATCGTGCATCAATGCGAAGCCCTATAGAGAGCAGGGCTGGGAGGAAAAAATAGCAGAGCACCTATAGTTGAAACCTTGTAGTTTCGTGGAGCTGGTATCACTGCGACGTAGATGAAGATCGGAGCACAGCATGATGTGTTGAACGCTTGCAGCTTTCACTGCACATACTCACATCGTTCGCTCCCAGCGCGTTCACTCTTTGTTGCTTGGTCCTTCTTGGTATGATCAGAGCGCTACACAGTCCCTGTGCCCTGCTCAGGACTAGAAAAAGAGCCTCCACTTGCGCACTATGATTGCCACCGCAAGCCCGGCCGCTCTGCAACACGATGGCGCACTTGTGCTGCTCATCGCATGGATCCTTGGGGCTAGAAGCTGGCGCACAAGGGTTGGCCGTTCCTCATGTACTTGGTGAGCAGCTTGTTGTTGATAGACGCAGGCATGACGGAGACTCCGGCGACCCCTTCATGATGCTAATGATGCACTACTCAGCGTCCATTGCATCACTCGCATCACCAGACCCCATTTTCACTCTCGCTTTGGAGCGCTCTCCCCCACCAAGTTCCGGGTTCACCCTCTAAAAATGTGCCTTTTCGCACCCTCCCCCCCCACACCCCCTTAACTCACTTCGTTCGCTCTAAGAGCTCAAGCCTAGCCTATCGGCTGGCTTTCGTAATATATATCTTTGTGAATGATCAAGTTGCCATCCTTAATGATAATCATAAGACAAGACAATTTGGTCTAATATCAAACTCCACTGATTGTCTGACCAACTTCAAGGGGAGAAGCGTCCAAAAAGAGGGCTCACCATGGGTGACCGATGTTCTTTGTCTTTCTTCATTGCAAGACACGATCCAACAACCGTCTTAAGATGAGAAGGAAGGATCCTATAGATGATCATTGTTATCTTGGGATCTCTCTGCTCTTTCAACCCATGTCACATAAGACCGGGCTATCAGGCTGTCCGGCCTGTGAACCCGTAGCCAATTTATGAGGAGGACCTTAAGTCTGATTCTTCTCAAGTATTTTTCCTCTATATTTCTTCTCTTCTTCTTCGCCTTTCGAAGAAGAAGTTCCTGGGATTGGTCTTCGCTCGATGCTCTTGGCGGCGTTCGTCCGATTGACCGAAGTGATGGTCGTCTGTTTTGGGGTTTGGTCGTATGTTTTCAGCACATCGCCAAACCACGCATTGGAACATCATCAACAACCTGGGTTTGACTTCTTCGGTCCATTGCCTGTTCGCAAGTCCTTTGTTGGGGGGGGATCCTTGAAAAGGTGAAACAAATCTGTACCAAACGAACCTTCGAATGCCTGGCGCTCGGTTCATCCTGGCTTCGGTGCTTCAAAGTCGAAGACCAACTCACCGCGTGGAGTGGCTGCGACAGTGCCTTCCTTGTTGTAGCCACGGCGGCGAGAGAATTGAGTTAGGGTCTGTTGACTGCCATGGTTCACCGTGACCTTGTTGTTGATGCTGTTGGTGTTGGTCAGCTGCTTGATGGAGTATTTGTAGTCCTTGTTGGGATTCAAGCCTTCCACCACCGCCGTGGAAATGCCCGGCACATCACGGACAAAGCCCATGCCGCTCTGCAAATAGGACCAGCCAAGGAGCTTGATGGTGGACATATTGCCAAAGGGCTCGATGTAGGTCACATCTCGGCTTTTGGTTCCGGTGGAGTTGCCCGTCCATGAACGAAGACCTCCCACATTCATCACCACAGCACCACGTGTGTAGGACGGTGAGACGCCCTCCTTCTGTGTCAAGAACTGCTTCCGAAGGCTCGTCTTCCAGCAGCCCTCAGGGTTCGCGACCTGACAGCTCGCATTGTGGGGCAAGGCATAGAGATCGCCTTCCATGCCGAACTCACGGACCAAGCTGTCACATCCTGCCAACCCCCATGACGCACAAGGCACCATGCCCTCCCGAAACGGCAGGCGCGACAGGGAAACATGAAGCGTCGCCGAGGGGTGACACTTTCGAGGGACCGAAACCAGAGACTACAGACGGCTGGGGCAGAGTGAATCGCCATGGTAAACCGGTGACCACAAGTGACCGAGACTTCTTCATCACCTCAGGCCCTCTCCTTCATAGAGTCGACAGGTGGTTGCACCATGCGAGGTTCCCGTCCAGTAGAAGGTACACGTCTTGAAGTCTTTGCATCGCTCCTGCGCTGCAAAAACGCGCATCATGCGCCAGAAGATCAATGAAAACCGTCCAAAACCGATGCCTCTCATGGCGTTCTTGGTGAGTACCCTCTCCGTTGAAGCTGGGTGTTTCATATGAACATGATGTGGAGTGATGCTTGTGAAGCGGGGGGGGATGGTCTTTTGAGAAAGGCACGGGCGCAACAAAACGGTTGCTCCCGACGTCCAGCACATCTGCTTTTGGCATCTTTTGGCCAAGGTAGGAGTTAGTCAAACACGTCCACACATCCAGCTAGCCTACCACGCTAGCTCCCACTTCGACCATATACATGCTGGACATCATTTCGTTCTCCGGGCCCAAACCATAGAATACCCCTCCACGCTACTAGGGGCTCCTGGCCTTACTACCGGCTTGTTGCATCTCGCTTCGTTGCCCGCCTCGCAGTCAGAGGGTTCCATGGATTCAGCTTCCGACTCAAAGTGGATGCCCGCAGCACCCTTCAGAAGCTGGCGAGAAGGGCAGGCGAACTGGCCTCAACAGCGCCAGGAAATTGCGCCCCTGCGCCAGCTCTACGGGGCCCCCCCGCCCCAAATGAATGAGCGCAGCGTCCGTCAGAGTTGATAGGGCAACAGAAAGCCCGGGCCTTTCCAAACAAGGTGAGCTGACCGAGGTTTGCCAAGCTGAAATACTTGTTAGGAGCTGCCAGTGATGACCCGAAAAGAATCCGGTTGCCAGGACATCGACCCACGTCCCACGACCCAAGAAACAAGCACCCGGGAACGGATGGACGGCCTGAGACGATGAGGAAGGGCGGTGGCACGAAGGCTCCATTGCTGGCCGGGGGGGAGATTCTCCAAGCTCATGGCATCTGCTGGCCAAGCGCTGCCCCAACCCATCGGCAAGCAGTCACAGGGGTGCAACCAGAAGTCATCTGGCTGGGTGGTGCTGGGGTCATCGAAGATCAAGGGTTGGAGCTGCTCCTGGGAACATCAACTGCACTTGAGTGCGGTGCTGAACCATCTGTGTTACACATGTGGAAAGGCAGCAAGATACCAAATCTCCAAAGGAATGCCGTGAGTGAATGTGGGTGCAACACAAACATCTATAGTTCTGCAAGTCTTGAACCTAGAGCTCTGCTTTCAACTCAGATTCTCCGAATTTGTCCGTTCCATCTCCATTTTCCTCACACCCTGCCAGACCAAAAGTCCTGGTGGGTTTCCCCCAACCCGGAAGCTCTCCGCTCCTCCTCCGTTTCTGGGAACAAAGGCCGTCCACATGCCAAGGTCGCATAGTCCAGGTGCACATCACCCTTCTTGCTTGGGAGACCAGGGTCTAAGCAAAGTTCCTCAGCCCCTGGCGCGCCCGCGCGGAATCGGACTGTTCAGAATCAGGCTTGCTCCGGAGAAGTGGGGCTGCCAGCGTCTGGTCCCAACATGCTCAAAAGCAGAAGCTGAGGGCTCCAACTCTGCTCAAAACATGTTCAAGGAAGCAATGGCCAAAACAAGTTTTACACCAGTCTTGATGAAATTCTGATCGAGAATGGGTTGATGACACCCAGAAGCTGGAAACTGGGCACGAACACAAAAGCTGCTACGTATTTTCCCCCTAAGTTTTTCAGACCATAGCTGAATCATGCATGAATGACTCATCCAAGTGTTTCAGAACCTCTTTCTAGAAGCATTTTCGTCCAAATCTTTTGACAAGTTCCACAGTCAAACCCAACCCCAGCCACCCTGTGCCTTTGAGTTCAAAGTAGCCCAACTGCTCATCCACAAAGTCGCTCTTGTCCGCGCGGGTCACCAACCAATTCCCATTGGCGCAACTGGAGGCTCCCTTCGCTGCGGTCAAGTACATGACTTCCTGGCACAGCTGGAGCACAGCTGGACAGGGGAGATGGAGAAATTCCGGACCCAAGGTGCAAAAGCGGCTGAGAATCTCTTGATCAAACCAATCACCCTTGATCAAACCTGCCACATCATTGCGAGCCAGTTGCAATTGATCTGCAATCGTCAGGCTTGCGCTCTCACTTACCCACTCAGTCCTCTTCGATGGAGCTCTGCTTTCGGTACACCACGTTGCGGGTGAAATCCGGAAAAATTGTAAACTTGCAGCTGTCCTCAGCAAAGTTGGAACCCGGATTTGCATTGCGTGGATATTCATCCACTGGAGTGAAGCGGAGACATTTGTGTGATTTGTCACTTCAGCTGTGGCAACCACGGGCTAGGTCGGATTCAACAAAATACTAGTGTCAATGTCTTCCGAAAGCGCAGACTAGGTCCTGTTCGCTGGGAGTGACTGAAGCAACTGTCTTTGGTATTATGCTTGTTCTGGCACCCTCCGTCTTCCAGCAGTTACTGAGTTACTGTAAACACATGTGGAAAAACGTGTGTCCTCCAGGTCTGGGGCTGTCGGTCATCAACCAAGGCGCCAAGCCCTTGACGATCTTGAAGGTCTTCACTTTCAGCTTCTCCCGTCCATAAAACCTCAACCCAACGTGCGATCTCACGCCGCTGAGCGGCCGAGCGTGGCGCGGTCCAGTGAGTGGTGAAGCCGGTTTTGAAGGATCACTGCTGGCTCGATGGGTGAGGTCAAAAATTGGATTCACCATGGAGTCACTTGCATAACTTCTTCATGAACATACTTCAAACGCAACATTTGTGAGCGCCATAACTCAACTACCTCTCCCGCTTGCGGGACACCCTGTGTCGAGTTGCTGCGGAAAAAACGCGAAGATTTGGATCAATGTGGGTCATGTAGGTCACGTCGCCACCATCAACAGTCCCAGAAATGAAAAGTGCATGCAAAACCATGGGTTAGGTGGTTTCCTCTCTGAGAAACCTCGAAACACCTACTCCCTCCCCACGACGAGTTCATTGATCAAGCTTGGTTTTTGACGTGGCCGCCACACACTAAGTCCACTCACAGGGACTGCACCACGCTGGCACCCGCCGGTGCGGTGAGCTCCGGCGACTGCGAAGGGCTCCAGTCCCAGTCGGAGGTGGTCCCCGTGTGCCACACACTTTTGGAGCCCACGCCCTGACAAGCTCGACAAACGCGGAGGGGGTTAGTCCTCTGACAGTCCTCCAGTAGGCCTTGAAACATGCCAGGTTCTTCATCAACTTTCCCGGCTTTAGACAGAAAGGCAATTGACTTGACTCCAGATGAGTGGAAGTGGTCAGACCAACTAGCGCGATTTCACAGGCATCAATATCACCCGGAGGCACTCGGAAATGTCCAGAACACTCTTACCACGATTTCATCTGCAAAGGCCTTCAGCTTCGCTTGGCATCCACCATTTTCATTTAAGACCTAAATATTAAATATACCACCCAAAAAAAAAAAAATATATATATATATACCGGGGGGGGCGAAAACCAGCAGCCGCCAGACAAGTGTCTCTTTTTCTGGCGGGCGTCGCGGCACAAGACACATGGTCGGCAGCTTTGGAGTCAGCGGTGCCGCGGATGCGGGGGGGACGTATGTAATGGTGATGGGGGGTGCAGAGAAGCAAGCCGGGCGGCTTTGGGATAAGTTTGGTATGAAAGAAGTAGTGAAAGAGAAATGCGATACGTTGTATGTTGGTGTGGGTCATCATCACAAGGCAATGGCATGTGTCTGTCACACGCAGGAAGGTATGCATCTTATGGAAGTTGGAAGGCGACATCAGCGTTAGCGCGGGAAATACCGTCTGAGTTCGAGTGGTGGGATACTACGTGCGCGCGCTTGGGAACACCTTCTCCATAGTCAGCGTCGCCGCGCGCGCCGCACGCCGCGCGCGAGTACGGCATGCGTTTGCAAAAGAAGCAGTTATGTGTTTGTTACATTTGGAGCGTCTGAAGTTTGCAACGCATACTGCGGCTCGTCGGAAAGCGGCATTCGTCGATTTGGAAGAGTGAACGGGCACGTCTTAGCCGGGACACGGGCGTTCGATCCCGCGGCGCAGAAAAGTAGCTTGGGCCAGCAAAGGAGTGAAGATTTGTGTGCCTATCGATGCACATGCCTGGACTTGAGTGAGTCATGTTCTGGCTCGATCCAAAACACAGTCTCTTTCCTTCAAAGGGGCCTTTATCAAACGATCCAAACACCTTCTTTATTCTTCTCTTTCTTATCAACTCTGCGCCTTTCTCACTCAGAGTCAGAGGCCTTGACTTTGGCACCTGCGTGCGTAGATCTTTGGACCGTGGACCCAGGCTGACTGGATTCGGCCAGGGCTGCCAGCAAAAAGGCGACGTCATGAGTCAGTGGTATATAGAATTTATTTATCTATCTATCTATCTATCTAGCGATCTATCGATCTATCGATCTATCTATCGCTCTATCTGCACCGGCAAGCCGGAAAAACGTTCGGTGCGTGTGGACGGCGAGAAGCATGAGGACATGGTGTAAGTATAGTTTTTGCTAGGGGGGCAGGAACCCTATGCGGGTATGTTCTCGCAGGCATCCCCACCGAAACTCAATTTGGAAAATGGACTTGAACTCGTGTCACTTTCGGTTCTCTATCGATTCGTGAGTTGCGTATCCTACATGCGGCTGCGGTCTGCTCTGTACGCGGGTCCCTGTCGCCACTCGATTGCTCAATGCCCATTGTCCAAATAGCCTGCAAAGCCCTTCATGATGCTAATGATGCACCACTCGGCGTCCATTACATCACGCGCATCACCAGACTCCATTTTCACTGCTTTTCTGACCCTCGCTTTGGAGCGCTCTCCCCCACCATCCTCAGCGACCACCCCCCCCCACACCCCCTTAACTCACTTCGTTCGCCCTAAAAGCTGAAGCCTAGCCCAACGGCTGGCTTTCGCAATTATATACATAAAGGGCTCCAGTATCTCCACACCATCGCTCTATTCAGTTCCTTTGCCCCTTTGCATCGAACTCTGGGACGAACTAGGACCCCCCTTCCCGTCGGGCGGTCTCCACCATTTCCAGGCCTTGATCTTTGCCCAGAAGGAATCCTGGTTGCCATCCGGCGCAATGATCTCGGCTTGGAACTTCACCTTCATAAGGTCCCCGTGCTGCCCGCGCAGCACAAAAAGAACAAAGCAAAGCACCACAAAGCAAAAGTTAATCTTCTCAAAGACCTCTGACAGGTCTTATTTCTAACTGGTTGGAGGCCATCGCTAGTATGTTGGAGGCCATTGCTCTTAGGTTGGAGGCCATCGCTGTCCTTCTTCAACCGGTAACGACGCTAACGAACCTAACGAAAAGCTTCCTCTCCCGCCTTCGTCTCAACCAAGCAAGTCAGCGGAAACTCCATAACGCCGCAGTCTTGGGTCGCCGAGTAGCAGGTTCCCTTCGTTTGCTCCATATAGCTACCTGGTGATAAAGAGAATCCCTAGCAACAATAGAGCTTGGAGGCCATCGCTCTAGGTTGGAGGCCATGGCTCTATTCGGTTGGAGGCCAGACTCTAGGCCAGGATCTCAAATGTTCAGATCGGGTATGCCTGGAAAACTATCAATGCCCATTCAAAGCACATCCAACCCTGAAGCAGCTGGGCCTTGCTTCTGGAAGTCCCCCTTCACATAGGGTGCCTGTATAGCACGCACCGCTCCAGAGATGGTGTCAGGCTCAGCCTCGTCCGCAGTTCCGGCGCGTGGTTTTGGGAGTCTCAAGCCATCCATCCATATCTATCCTATACGATTTGCACACAGCTGATCAAGGGTGCTCCGACTAAACAACACAAACACAGTTGAACATGTTCTTCACATAGTCATCATATGCAGCGGACCAGATCCCAAAATCCAGATTTACTGCACGTTCTTTCTGATCGTGTTGGAGACCATCCCGTCTTCGCTCCTAAGATGCCTAGAAATGCTCTGAAGCATCGGCAGAAGTGAACCAAGTTGCATCTAAACACCTCAGTGGACTTCGGTGGCAGGAATGGTATCCTTTTCCGTGCCCTTTCTCCGGGTTCTGACCAGCTTCTCGCACTGGACAGTCGGTTTCCCACATGGGCCGAAAGTCTCGAATCATTTCCTTCAACCAACCATTTCTCAGTCCTCTGAATAGATCCAAAACCGGTTGACCTACCTGGTCAAGTTGGTGGACCATGGCTCCAAGTTTTGACTCACCATATGAAGCTTGTGAGGTCTCTTCGTCGAGCCCAGACCAGACCAGACCATCTCCGCGTGGTGCCTGACGGAAGGCCACCGGACAGTAGTCACCAGCAAGGACCTCAGTCGCGACGGGCTTCCTGTGCGATGTCCCACGATGAGCCGGCTCTTCAGAGCTGAACCAGATTGTGAGGAATATGAATATGCTTCTTGTTACGTTCGTAGCAATGGCCTCCAACCTAATAGCGATGGCCTCCACCGTGCGCAGCTTCTAGTTACTAGGGTGTCAAAACATTGCATTCTCCGAGGAACCAAATAGATTATGTACCCTATCTTTTCACCCTACCTGTTCACTGTTTCACCACTCAACCTCTGCGCGTTCACTCAACCGGTGCGAACTAGGATGTGGACCCACTTGGGATGCTTCAGCCGCAAGCAGGTATTGAGATCTGCACAGCCCGTGACTTTGGCATATGCCGTGACATCAATACCACCCTCATTCTCAATGCGGTAGTGCTTGCACTTGTCCTGCGCCAATAAACAGTTGCCATGTCGTTGTCATTAATCTTGGAGTTGGGGAAGGCACCCCATGGGCTGCGACAATCCGACCACACGAGTCTGCACTTGACCAGATCGGCTAAGCACTCACAAAGATGCGGGTCAAAAGTGCAACCTGCAAAGAATCAGCCCTGCCAAATCACGCTTCTACCCTGCACAAAATCTTGAGGCGATTCCCCTTTCGAGATCAACAGTAACTTGGCCTGCAACCCATCCTTCCAATGTCCTAGACCCGCAACACCGCGGGAAAACCGCATGAGGACCTGGTGCGGAGGTCCGGTCCTCGCCCCAGGTGAAGTGGGAGCACTTCTTGGACATGCGACAGGTGTTCCGGCACTGGGACTCTTGCAAGACCTGCGTCTCGGAGACCACTGAGCCTTTGAAGCTCTCCGAGATCCAGCACACGCTGTCCTCGAAGGAAGGGCCATCCTTTGTGACTCTAGCTGAGTGACTGGGGTGTAGCTAAAGGGATGTGCAGATTTGCAGGGACATTTTAATGGAACAGATGAAACTCCAAGAAAGCCCTAAAAGCGATCCATGGAAACGTCTTCAAAGAAACAGAGTGACTCCGCGCGAGTGTTTGCCGTGTTAGCAAATGTCAGTACGTCCTTGATTCGGATCATGAGAGGAGTATGAAGTGCTGGGAAGTCTGAGCCAGGGAAACTGCCCCACACGCCACAGCTCAGCAACACCGACTTCCGTTGCAAGTTGTCGGCCAAGACCTCGTCAAACAGCTTGGCCATAGACTCACCTGACAGGTTTCTGCACAACGAGAAAACGCAAAGAGGACGCTACTAGGAACAAGAAGCTACTAGTAGGTCTTTGAAGCTTTCTAGTAACTAGAAGCTACTCGGTGGAGGCCATCGCGATTAGGAGCAAGAACGCTACTAGGGGCGCTCCATCCTGAAGTGCAAGAAATTCGGATTTGAGTCATCTCCCAATCTCCCACTCTCCCATCCTCCCATCCAGCCTGGCGCAATAGAAATGGTGCCATCTGGTTGAACCTCCAAGATCTCATGCGAGCCAAGCAACCCCACGCCCCAAATGCTGTCAAAGGACCAGTTCGGCGCAGGCCGGCCGTCCCCCGCCCAGTCACCATCGACGATGCAGGACACCTGGAAGGATGAAGGGCGTAGGCCACCCACGCTCTCCTCGTATCCTAAGGACCGTGACGGGGTCGAACACACGGATCCAAAAGGACCCCGAACGCTACGAACGGGGCTCCCGGACGTACTACTAGGAACAATCAAGCTACTAGGAATATCCCAAGGAATCGGGGGGGGGGTAGGCGGCGGAGGTAGCTAGGGAGTCGTTAGTAGCTTACTTAAGCTACTAGGAACTGGATGCAGAATAGCTCGCGCTAATGATCTGGCTCCTAGATTTTTAGGGAAGCTCGGCTGTGGGTCATGGCACCAGGATACGGACCGGTTGACCTACCTAGAAGGTCCTGCTGTTTGTCACAGACGGACCAGACCAGACAGACGCATCCCTGGTTTCTGAGGTGTTCAGCATGGAAAAAGTGAATCGCGAGACAACGACCGGTGCCTCGTTTAAACGAAAAACGAAATGGAAGAACGAAGCACGTTTTGAGCATTTTTGAGCCATGTTTCCCAAGGGGATTCGGGGCTTCAGTGGCTTCACTTCTTCACCCACCACGACCTCCAGGTAGTTGCTCTCATAGGAAAGGCCTGGCCAAGGCTTCGGCTGCACAGCCACAAAGGTGGAGCTCCTCTTCAAAAACTGGCCGCCTTCCTGGCACGCTAAAAACAGAACACGTGTCTTTTTTTCGCCTAGTTCAGGTTTCCATGCGAAGTATGGACAGCAAGTACAGCATGTGCCAACTGAACCAAGGCAGCAATTCACTTTAAAACGCAAAAAAGCAGTGCTACCGGTTTCTTTCCCTCTACCAACCCACATCGACCCTATTTCCGCCACATATATGTTCCCTGGCCTTCTGGTATCCGGAGACCACGCAGACAGCCCCATCCATCCCCACGTAGTCTCCATCGCCGCTCTCGGCCTCCGTGATCGCGCCCCTGCTGCCGGAGGAAGCACTCAGATGGCCTGAGTTGGAGATGCTGAGCCACGGAGCCTCAGTGCAACTCGAAGGTTTCAGAGGAAGAGTGCGTAACGGCAGTCTCCCTTATTTCCTGGGACCACACGTCCCTGGTTTGAAGTTGACCAACCACCATGTGGATAGTTTGGGTGAAAGAAGGTGTGGCAACCACAACACGATTTCACACACGGACCCCTGCCTTGCCTCGGGTGCGCAGACCATGCTGTAATCCTTCCATTCTCCACCGGAGGTGGTCAAACTGAAGGACTGCACGGTGGGAGAGAAGATCAAAGCACTGGTCCCGTAGGTCAGGAAGTCCACCGCAACAGAAACCTTCGACGTCTGCACTAGTCCGACACCCTGATGAGCGGTGACTTCGCATTGGATTGAGAATGGCTTCGTGGGCTTATCACGGGAGGCAATGTAGTGGATCTTTCCGGTCTCTCCATCCATGGTGAGGTTGTGGGCAGCAAAGCCACAATCAGCATTCAAGGAATACCTCTTGGCAGTGCGAGGTGTGGGTGCCAAATCCACGGCAGCACCCACCACAAAGCGGGTGTCCGGGTATTTGAAAGGCGTTGGGCTTTTGTGGCCCCCCTTACAAAGACAGCAAGCTTGGTTGCTGCTTTGGCCGTTCACTGGTCGGTCATTGCATCCGGTCTCATCGATGGCATCACAGGTGGCACCCAGCTCATTGGTCCACCCTGCGGTGCCAATGCATGCCACACAGACCCCATCCTCCATGCCATAGCCATCCAGGCACTTCTGACACTTTCCGGAGGCATAGCTCGCACAGCCTCCACATGACAAGGAGTCTGCGGGACAGCAGCTGGAGCTCGACGAGTTCACCACGAAGTTCACCAAGGTAATACCGGAGCAACTGGAATTGGTAAAGGTCCTCAGGTCACCCAGGTCATGACTGTCTCAGGTCATGACTGTGTCCTTTCATGGAATTGAAAATCACAGCTGCAAAGTCCATCCATCTGCCATGTATTGGCAGTCCGCTGCTGCCCTATTGAAGTCCATGGTGTCTCAGCTGTTGCCCGCAACCCACAAAGCGAAACCTGTTTCGTACATCCGAAACATCGACACCCATGCCTTAGGAGCAAGGACGCTAGTAGGAACAAAGGGAATCGCTACTAGTAACAAGTGCATCGCTACTAGGGGCTCCTGGCCTTACTATGCATTGGCAGCTGAAGAGAATCCAAGGAATTCATGCTTTGGCAGCAAACGAGCACCCTTGCTACGTTCGTAGCGTCCTTGCTCCTAAAGTAGCGATGGCCTCCAACCTAATAGCAATGGCCTCCACCTAGTAGTTCTTGTTCCTAGCACCACACCGGTTTTCGAAAAACGAAGCCCATTGTCTTCCTCTTCCAAACCTCTTCCGGCCGGGTCTCGTTGTCTTCGTGAACATCTGGCTCTGGATTTTGGCCGCCAACGCCGGTGGCGGCACATTCCCCGTCCGAGCCGCACTGCGCGCCAGGCAGTGCTTGGCCAAGTCCGAGTGGTTGGAGGAGCCTCCAATCCGCTACCCCAAAGCCAAAGCTGATTGGCAGGACGAGTTCAAGTTTCTTTTGGGATCCTGACTCCTGTTCGCAGTTGTCTGTTCAACATGGGCTTCGAAAAGTGGGGCGTTCTCATTTTCGAAGAGACCCGGCTTCTTTGGGCTCCTGTTCCGTCTTCGGTCCCGTCTGCTTTCTCAGACCAAGTCTCCTTCATACCGAGGCTCCGTCACATCAAACCTCGGTGGACCAGCTCAAAGCATACCCGCCCAGTCAAATGCTTATGTAGAATCGTGTAGAAGAGTGAACCATGTGAACCATGTGAAACAATTTCTTCTGTGGAAAGGTTGGCTTTGCTCCTATCACTAGTGAACGTTCTGAATCGCTCTCAAGCATGAATCGCTCTGAGCGGTAAGAATCTGGCAGACTGACAGGAGAGCAGCATCTTTTCACACACAAAGCATCTCAAAGCCTTCGGTACCTTCCAAGCCTTGGACCCGCTCTCCTATCTCCGGATCCCAGTACCCGACTTTAGCCCCGCCGGAGCGCCGGTATTCTGCCAGATCGATCTTCTGTCTTCTGGACCTCGGATCGATCGGACGATGGACGTCGCGTCCCAACCTGTTTCGACCACAAACAATTTGGAGACATAGGAACCCAGAAGACCTTGATCTTTCTTGATACAAATCACTTCAACACGAAAACGAGAGAAAACGACCCCGGTCCCGTGGAGTATGGGTGCCCCGGCTGAAGTAAGGCGGCGCCGGTCGCTACGACCGGCTCGTCACACTCTGGTTCTAGCTCCGAGGTGAAGGCACAGCACCATAGAGTGGCGGTGACCTGAAGTCATGAACACCTGTCCGTCACACCACCAATCTGTTGCTTCCAGAGGCAAGTCCACTTTAGCACCATCGAATCCGGTCGAATTCTGGATTTGGCTGTGGAGTGATGGTTTGATGCCACAGTTGTTCAGCCAGATTGTGAAATAGACAATGATCCCTTTGTGATCAGCCACCTTTTCGGAAGATTCCAAGTGACCATGGCCTGACACTTTCCGGGTGGAGAGTCCTGCCAATCACAGCCGGTATCGGTCCGTTTGTTCGGCTGAAACAGAGACCGTTCCACCGGTATCGGTCCCCGAAACAAGCCCATCAAAAGGGTCGTGAGTGTATCCCCAATCCAACCATCCAAAAAAGGCCTATCTTCAACATGTTGCAAAGGACCCGTTTGCATAAAAATGTCAATCAAAAAGCACAGAACACCTTCTTGCAGGATAGGAACAAAGAAAGAATGCCCGAAGGCACGCATCGGTGAGTAGGAAAGGCCGATTCTGCCAAAGAATGATAGAATGAGCCACAAGCTGTTGCTACGGAATCAAGTTGTTCTTCATTTGTTCCACGCAGTCAAATCATGTCAAGGTACAACGAAGAAAGCTCCATGCGCATGAAACAAATAAAATGAGATTTGGCTCCGACTGAGTTTTCCCATGCAAGCATAAAGCTGAACACACATGTTTATCCAGCAAGGAGAATGCACCTGCTTCCAAAACCAATTGGTATCCCTCACTATCCAATCCAAATGAAACAGTGGCCCACTACAATCAAGTCTTTCTAGGCTCCAAACAAGGACTCAACGCACTCCTGTTTCGTAAGCCATGCACGATGCCCTTTCTGGAGACCTGTCACGTCTCCTTTGCACAATATGTCGGCTATTTGCCTTCATCTGTCGGCATTCATTTCAGAGCTAAAGATGCTGCGAGTTCAAATGGCAGACCTTCCAGGAACTGCGATCTCGCGGCCAAATAAGCACTGCCCACTGCCACTCAGGCGCTAGCAGGACCAGCCCTCCTAAAGAACGAGAAACTGCACAGCGGCTAAGGAACTGGATTCAGGGAGTGAAGTGAGTGATGCAAGTGACACAAGGCAGCTTGACAACTTCTGCAAAGACTGAGCCGTCTCAAACGTCCAAAGGTTTGCTACTAGTAGTTTCTTTCTACTAGTAGCTTCTTGCTACTAGTAGTAAGGTACCTTGCTACTAGTAGTGTCCTTGCTACTAGTTTACAGAAAGCCATGGATCAACCTTCTTCATCTGTTTCTAACCCGACCAACACTGGCTTCTAGTGGGGAAGAACTGGAACGAACCCGCCCGACCTCTCCTGAAAGGGGCGAATATCAATCTCGTTGGACCATCCCAAGGGCGACTGCTGTGCCAGCGCAAAATATGTCTCAGCAATATCATCCGTACAACCCATCCTGCCGGAGACGGTATCAGATAAAACTGGAACTTAAATCAAATGTTGACAAAGAAAATCATTGTTCCAACTTGTCGAGTATTGGTGAGTGGCTGGCCATGAAATCATGAAATCATTGCTATTAGAAACAATAAGCTACTAGGAACAAGTGCATCGCTTCTAGTAACAAGTGCCTTACTAGTAGTAACAAGAAGCTACTAGGAACAAGTGCCACGCTACTAGGAACAGGTGCCTTACTAGTAGTAACAAGAAGCTATTAGAAACAATTTTTTCGATCACCCCAGGTCTTGTGTGCTGCGTACATGTCGGGCATCTTCTTCTGGTATCCCGGCGTATCCAGGACACAGTCAAGTCGTACATGGACTGAATGGATGCCCTGCTTGCCAAACTCTTTGGCGATGGACTGCGACAAAGCACGCAGCGCAAATTTTCCGCAAGCGAATTGGGCAGTGCCACTGCTGCCGCGAAATGCAGAGGTTGCCTCAAGACTCAAAATGAAAAATCCTCAAGGGAGTCGCAGTGCCCTACCCTACCAAAACCTTTCAAGCTAGAAGTTTTCTCCACAAGTACCTGCAGCATCCAGCTTCTGGCGGAAACAACCATCATCCGAAAGTAAGTTTAGCTTCGGAACTGCAGCCAAGATACAGACGAGAAGATTAATGTTCCTTTCTTTTTCACTGCAAATTCTCCACTGCCCTCAGATGCCAACATCCCTGGCAACACAGCTTGTGAGCACAGCAGGGCCCCAACACATGAGGCATCGAACGAGCTTTTGAACGTCTCAGGATCAATGTCCAGAATGGAAATGCCAAATCCGCCACCTCCGCAATTGTAGATGAGCACGTCAACCTGAGGAAAGGGCAATCTGCCAAACTATTTTTGCCTGTCTCTCTCTCTCTCTCTCTCTTTCTTGGCAAAACAGAACTGCACCCCAACGGCAAATAAGGAAACCAGAACAAGTAGCCGAAATGAAGACATGATACGACTTTTTGATACGGCTACATTTCTTGGTCACCTGGTGACTTCCGTGCCCTTGGTGCTTTTCAAACCTTTCTGGCGAGCCTTGCCAAGTTCTTTGGCGACTCTGTCAAAGGCTGCTTGCACTGAGCTTTTCTCCGTGGCATTCATTTCATAGAATCCATAGCTTGCACCCATGGCCTTTAATTTCTCCTCCAAAAAACTGCAATGTTCTTGTATTTTTGGCATGCCCATATTCATGTCTACCCAGAAACATATCAGCAAAAGAGTATGAACCCCTCATTCTCCGGACATTCCCATCCCATCCTCTGTCGGCAGAAAGGTAGCAGCTGTTCTGCACATCCCTGCAATCTTGTAACCAGCCTTTGCAAAGCGGATCGCAGCACTGCCCCCCATGCCTGGCCCACAGCCAACCACAGCACACACACTTGCCATGGCGGATGATACTTTGGGGCCTACGATTGATAAAACTACAGGATAAAACCGTTGAGTCAAAGTAGACTGGCGGATGTCATGAAGTTGTTCCAACTGTTTTCAACGGAGCAAAAAGGGCCTTGACAAACACGACCTTTGTACAACTGACCACATGCTCTGCATTTCTGAACATACAAATGGTAGTTCTGACGAGGTGCCTGTCAGGGGGGAATCCCAGGAAAAAAAACGAACAGTTCATGTTCATCTCTCATGTCAGTGGCTACTTCTACGCAATTGCAACAGCCTGGATAGCCGCCCCCGGCACCTGCTGACTGCAATCATTCACTGATTCCTTCATGTTCTTGCGGGCAACCACGTATTACACTTGTTCCATATGTTTCATATGTTCTCTGCCTCTTGCAGTTGACCTTGGCAAGCGAGTTGGACAGCCAGCAAGTTCGTGCAAATAAATGCGAAAAGGGCAGCTACGGCAAGCGATGCCGATTTTATTGTTTAACACATTTTTTTTGACTTAACGAATAGGAGAGGTGACAGCTCACTGTCTATGAGTCTATGAGCCTTAGAATCTTGAGGAACATTGGATACATGTGTGGTTCTTATGTTTTGAAACAAAATGTTTGAAAGGTTTCTGGTCCAATGTGTGACCATATTTCGACCCCAACACCCTCCCCCAACAAACAGCATATGAGTTAAGATAGGCCTTGCCTATCCCCAGATATAGGTTCCGCCCGCCCGCCATCCAAAATTATCACAAAAGTTTTTGCAAAAAAAACTTACCACAATGATGTTCATCCTAAATTTATACGACACCTATGGTTTAAAATGCGCACTTTTTCCTGACACTCAAAACGGCTGCAGTGAAGTCATGTGCACACTCAATGATAGAAGCGGTGCTGCACATCTATCTATACATCTAAGTCACGGTCTTCATGGAAAATGGTTCGCACTCCTTCTTGGCACTGTGAAACTGTAAGATGCTTCTTTGAGTTCACTTTGCCACCATAGTCCATTTTTCCCCAACAGCAGCATAGGATACCAAAAGGTTAGCAAGGTGAAAGGCAACAGCAGGAAGCGCAATGAAATAGACTTGAGGTATGATGACGTTTCCTTGACTGTCGATTGGGAACGTTGCGGGAACCTTGCAGGAAACTTGCGCCAACCTTGTGGAAACCTCGTGGGAACCTTGAAGCAAAGCTGTGGGAACCTTGGAAGAACCTTGTGGGGCAAAGTTGTGGAACGATGTTGTGGGCACGTTGGAAGCCTTGTGGAGCAAAGTTGTGGGAACCTTGCCTTGCAAAAAGTTGTGGGAACTTTGTAGGAACCTTGAAGCAAAGTGGACAAAATTGTGGGAAGCTTCTGGGAACCTTGCAGCAAAGTTGTGGGAACCTTGTGGGAACCTTGGAGCAAAGCAGCAAAGCTGTGGGAACCTTGGGGCAACCTTGGAGCAAGGTGGCGGGGACTTTTGGTCCCTTGTGGAACCTTGGAAGAGCCTTGAGGGGCAAAGTTGTGGAAACCTTGTGGAAACCTTGGAGCAAAGCTGTGGGAACCTTGGTCTTGGGGCAACCTTGGAGCAAAGCTGTGGGAACCTTTGGTCCCTTGTGGGAACCTTGTGGGAACCTTGAAGCAAAATGGAGACGCTTCTGGGAACCTTGCAGCAAAGTTGTGGGAACCTTGCGCGAACCTTGGAGCAAAGCTGTGGTCTTTTTTTGCACGGGTGGAGGCGCTGTGTGTGCCGAGAGGCACAAGTCACCTTGATTGAATTAAATAGGGATACTAAGGAGATACGAGCCAGGCACCAGAACAAGGCACAACACAACAAAACCAACCAACAAACCAAAAAAACAAAACACAAACAACCAAAGCAGCAAGGTTCGTATCTCTAATGGGCTGTATAAGCCGAAGCAAAAGTAGAGTGAAAAACGGTGAGACGGGACTCTGAATTCGTTCTTCTACTTGCGCTCAGTACATGATGGTCAGGCAACGGTGATATTCCTTTCTGCGGGCAGTGAGTATTCTGTATGGCAATGATGACCATCGCCAATGTGTGCGAAAGGCACCCAAGAATGTGCAGAAGAAGTGGGAGCGTTTTCGAACAGTCGCAGTTGCAGCTCGGCAGTGTCTGACTTATTTCAAAGAACACGGCCTTGCACGCAACAGCATCGGCTTAGCTCGCATTAACGCCTGAATGGCACTTGCATTGGTTTCGCACAAGTATTTTGTACTTGGATTGCGACGATTGAGGTTGAGGCAGGTGACAACCAGTTTTGTCTCCGACTCACTGTGATCAAAAATCCCGAGAAATTTGTGGAGAGCACAAGATGGTAGAGTGTAGTCAACCATGCTACGACAACCATGCTACGACAGGGTGGTGAAGGCTGCCGAGAGCGTCAAACTATCGAAAGCCATGACCTGCAAGGGACCTGCAACAGATCGACAGACCGAGAGATCCTACTGCGGCAGCCCCCCCCGCCCCCCCTAATGGGGGAGGCAGAGTCATGTGTTCGCTCCATGCTATGGCTCCAAAATGGACAAGAGGAGCGACAGCGACGAGGCAATGCGACAGTGCGTAAATCACAGACGAACGATTTGCAGATAGCACGCAATCGGCTAACTGCCTCGATATGCTCACCATCTCTAATTGTGATTCGAGCGCCCTTGAACTAATGAGGACACGCACGCCCCATAGACTACGTGAAAAGGTGAAACGCCGCTATCCAACAAGGTACTAGGAACTGTACACCTGTACTCTATGTATTCATCCAGGACCACCTCTTGGGAGGCAGCCCTGGGTACTGTCTAGCTACTCAGTATTGGCAGCAAAGTTGGCACAGGCCGACTGGCAGGCTTTCTGGCAGGTTGATCGCATTCTCAGGACCTGCACGTGGGCGCAAGTCTGGGCTGTCAAGCATCCCTACTGTGCGTTTCTGCGCAATTGTTCATGAAGTCAGCCCACTCCTCATTACTGTCGGATGCCTTTGGGAGAAGACGGACCCACCTTGAGATCTCGAGTTGACTGCATGTTTCGAAGGCATTGCGCTCTGCGTACGTCCCTCTCCACGTGGTCTTGTCTCCTACTCTAGAGAGTGTGCAGAGTTGTATGCAGCCTGCAAAAGCATGCCTGGCAACAGAGAGCAAGGTTGGTGGAGCATGTGTTTCACCCAATGACGCACAGTTCAGGAAAGCTTCTCGCCCGATGCGCCTCACCCTTTTAGCAAGTCGAAGTTGATGCAATTGTGAGCATTGTGCAAATGTGCCCCCTAAGATCTCACTAATATCTGTTTGCGAGATATCGACTGATTGCAGTCGTTTACAAAGTTCGCATGCAGCTGGTCCCATCCAGCTGAAATCTGCTGGCAAGTATAGCGACTCTATCCCAGCCTCGAAGAAGCAGCCCTCGGGTATGGAGCGATTCCGATTGGTGGGATCATACTCAGTTCTCTCAAAGTTGAGGTGCTGCAAGGCGCTGCATTTCTCAAAGGCTCGTGGACGAAATTGCGCCTGTGGCACCAGCTGATTGATTGTCGTGCTTTGGTCCCCTATCTGTACTAAGGAGTAACATTCTTCAAACACCCAAAGACCAAAATATTTGCATCCTGGGGCTATGACAGTGCGGAGTACATAATTCCTGCGAAAGGCCCCATCTTGCAGACAGACTACCGTATTTGGTAGCTGTACTATTTGTAATCTAGCGCAGTGCTGCCAGGCAGCTTCGCCTACGGTATGTATTCCTGCCTCTACTTGCACGTGCCTCAAATCGACCGTGTGTGTGAAGGCATGGGGTAACACACGACCCGTGCGAGTAGGCGGGACTCGAATGGCCTTGGCACGGTTCTTAAGTTGCCCTTTGTGTTCCACTTGGATAAGGCACTGACGGACAACCTTTTGAAGCAGTTGTTGTCTCTGAGGGTGTCCCAAATGGGGTCAGCCAAGATTGCTCTGGTTTCTTTGTTCACAAAGACAAGCTCGCACCCAAACGTGCTGTGTCCCCCAACAGACGGTAGATTCTCAAGTACGGCAGTTTCGAACTCGTCTAGCCGATCGAATTCCTGTAGATCGATGGCCATTTGTAGTTCTTCCCCCCGCAAGGGTGTTCAGGACCAGGTGCAAAACCAACGAGCCAACGAGCGTTCACAGACAAGTCACCGATCATTGCGGCAAGGTGCGCAGCCCCCCTTTTTGGATTTGAGCCACGACAGAGGTATCCTTCCGAGGAACCAAACATGGACCGGAGGACAGACTTCAAACAAGTACAATATCCAAAAAACCGGTGGCTTTCTGGGGGCAATGCGCAGGGACAGCTGCTTGGGCAGCCGCCCTTGCCCACACTGGCACCTTCCTGGGGATGGCTTTTACTCAAGCCGACCGGAGGGGGAGAGTCACTCTCTCGTGGAGGGATACAGTGGAGCCACTCAGGATTTCCAGCTTGACACATTCCTCAAAGGCATTGAAGGCAGCATATGGGCACCGCCATGCTTCCAGCCTGTTTCTGGCATAGACAAGGTGGAAGAGCGCGACACAGTTGCCAAAAGCCCTGCATCCTTTCATCGAATGCTCCCCGGAAGCGTCAGATCCCCAGAGCCTTGCAGCCTACGAATACCTGTGAGAATTTATAGTACTGAGGAGCGAAGACTCCGTACCACTTGTCGTGAAAGTTTGACACACAAACTCCTGACGGAAAATCAAAAGCTCTCGTGCTCAAAACACCTAGTCAGTCAAGTGTCTCAACGACCCGAGTCGAAAACGAAAGAAAAAGCAGGCAAAAGACACGCACACTTTTCGCCGCACACTTGAGCCAAAGTGACGAACGTTCTCCAAGGTTCACAAATGTTCTCGGGACATTTGTGGACATGCAAAACCATACTCAAAACAGTTCTACGCTTCACA